TTCCTACTCTCCCCCTCCCCTCACCCCCCGCCCTTTCAATAACCAACAACCTCACACCCGCACTCACCGGCGACATCTGTTGCTTCTAGTGTGTCTATATTTAAATTATGCAAATGACGTTATACTACTACAGTGGGTGAGCAAAGCGGCACGCACGCGGGTCTATCCCATAATCGATTGCCTGCAAATAAACTTGAGTAAGCAAACTTGTGTCACGAACCACTGTTGCACCTACACACACATGTGCGCGTTTAAACCGGGTCGGCCTCACACAGGCTAGTCTACGTCTTTTCAGTGTAAGGAAAATAATATTATATTATCATCATTCTAAAAATACTGATATATTTCGTTTTCATCTTTTTTCTTCTGGGAGTTACTCACACATAAGAAGACTGCGACACGCCTACATAGCATGTACTTTCGTCGAGATTTTGTACTAAACAACTCACACAGCGACCTTATTTCTTCATTATTGTGCCAGATCTAGTAAGTTTGAAGTGATTGACAAGTTTGAAGTTTCGTAGTGCAACTTTTTTTTCTTTACTTATCATGTGCTAGTAAATTTGAAGTGAGTGACAAGTTTGAAGTTTTGCACTAGATCTACGACCTGCTTTTCTTCACAAACGATGTGCTGCAAGTACAGAAGTTTAAAGTGATTGACAAGTGCATTCATGAACAGTTTGTAGGAAGAAGAAATAATAATTGTGTGTGAGTGACACATCGCTTGTTGTTAGATCTAAGTCGGAGCTTACTGTCAGTCAGAATAATAACAGCTGTCACATAACTTTGGCTCAAGTAGCATAGTAGGTCTTCTGGGAAATTCCGGGGTACTTGTTGCTCATCGTGGATTTGTTCTCAGGGAACTTTCTTCATCGGAATGTTTGATCCAGGTAAAGTTTACTCACTTTGAAGAGTGTTTTTTTCTGGGCCGCAGGAAAATATTGTTTTAGAGGTTTGTTTACAATGGGAGGTTGGCATTCGAGTATCAGAATGTGTCTATAGGGCCTATTAATGAATTGGCTTATTCAGATGTGTGTTTGACATGAAGGGATTTCACTAGGTAAGGCCTAACAGTAAAAAAACAAAAACAAACAACAACAAAAACCCAGCAATATTTTAAAAAAATTTTTAAAATTATTATTA